CACAAAACAATTTCTATAATTCCTACTATTAAAGGCCATTGAAAATGCTTAGGCCTATTTCTTTGTGCTAATTAACGTTATTACAAGTACAACTGAGAGTAGGATGTGACAGCTACTGGACTCGCATTTCTTACTGTAGTCAGACTAAGCCTGAGAGCTACTTGCAAGAAAATAAGAGGAAAACACAATGCTAAAGAGAAGGACAGACTAGATACAGGAACTCTCTATCAGTTACTACTTATGGCATTTAATAGGACACTATCATTTGGCCTTTTATGTTTAGATTTCTCAGGTGGTGGGGGGTGCAGTTTCCTAAACAGCTAGAAAAAGGAATAAATGGCTCATCACCTAAACTGGATTAGAGGTATACCACACATATGACAACAGAGAACTATGGATTTCATTAGTTTAAAACAAGTATGTTTTAAATCAACTTCTGGCATTTAAAATGCTGATTTCTCTTAGGTCATATTTTCTAAGGCTCTGTTGTCAATAAGAATAGAAGTCTGTATCAGAAGAAAGTTAGTGTTTCATGTCCGGTTAACAGGAAGGGCTCATAAGCACTTAAATCCAACTGGTCCAGTTTTACTGGTTTGGGGGTCTAGTTAAGATCACCTATTATACATGCAGCTTCCACACTACAAAGAGGGTGGAGGTGTAGTGGTAACATCACAGTAAAAATGTTTTTGTAAGCACAGTGAGCTTTTTGAAAGCAGTGGCAACTGACTGAGAAGTTTTAATAAAGTTTCTTTGTCACACAGTGACACTGGATTTTCCCTAGCCACAGTCTAAGCTAGAACAGAGTCTGTATCAAGCCAGTATTCTATAGGCAGATTGCGGCATATGTAATGCAGCAATAAACTTTTTTTAAAAATTAGTCTGTGAAAGTTGTTTCTGATTTTAAATAAATTGTATTTTAATCTAAAACGCTGTCTGGTTTCTCTTAAGACTGCACAAACAACAAAGGCCCATGGAGCAAAAGCGCTGCTAGAATCAATGAGATGAAACTCCGAAGAAGGGCTGCCTGCCCAAGACTCCCACTAAATATGCAAGTATACAACCATAAATAACGCCAGTCACCATATCATGACTGTTATAACATAGTAATCAATTGTAATGATAGTGTCATACAGAACAGATAAAATGCAAATTGTCAAAAGACCAAGAAGTACATACAAACAGAGTAATCATGATAAGGAACAATAACAATATGGAAACAAAGATTCATAGTAGCCAGTAACAGCAATAATTGGCCATAACAGCAAAACAAGGTCCCAGTACAACTCCCTTGTTTCTTAAGTTCTCTTCCTCAGTTGCTGTAAACCTCTAGAATGAAACAAAATATACAATGAACCACAGTAGGTATCCTACTCATGCTTACCAAACTACCAACCCAAACACTCTGGAGTGCCCTGACTCACTCACTGATCATGATATGGTTACTGGTGTTATTTATGGTTGTATACTTGCATATTTAGTGGTTTCTCTTAAGAACAAGGAAGTACTTCAGGGGTTAGCTATAAAAATCCCTATCTACTCCGTACCTCACAAAAATCTTTAACATCTGCTTCCCGGCACACTACACATTTCCCTCTCCTTGGCAACCCAACTCAACCTCATACTTGTCTGTTCAAAAAAACTACACACTACCCCCTGCCCCCCAAGGGAAAAGATATCATGATTCTGACAATGGAGAAACAGAAGGCCCACTGTCTAGTTCATGTGTGAAGGTGAGGAGGAAAGGGTGCCATCAGGCCACAGCCGACTTATGGCAAGGGAGGTTCAGGTGGCTTGCCACTGCCTGCCTCTGTGTTGTGACCCTGGTATTCCTTCATGGTCTTCCATCCAAATACGAACCAGGGCTGACCCTCCTTAGCGTCCAAGATCTGATAAGCTCAGGCTAGCCTGGACCGTCCAGGTCAGAGTGCATCTATATAGCAACAACCACTTTTACGATGGTCTGAAATTACTCCATGACAATATGGCTAGAATTATTTCTTCAGGACAGACATATTTGGAAAGGGAGGTGGGCTAGAAAGGGAGATAGCCATGCTTTTCAAGACTTTTTCTCCTTATAAACTATAGTAGGCTTTTGAAAAGTAAACGTTTATTCTAGTTTTCAAAAAGCAAATGAGAGGTCCCATTTCAGTTCACCCTGTGATGGCCTATATGTGGAGATTGGGGGAGGGAGTCAGTCAAGGCACTCACACACGAAATGGCACAAAGCTCTGGGTTTCATTATTTTTACCAACAAGGAACAAAGAAGAGGGGGATAAAAACTTAACCCAAAACAAATTGAATTAAGGCACAAAAGGTTAGTTACAGCAAATCTAAGGGCCAAAAGATACCAATTATACTACTTGGGCCTGTATCTGTTTTGATCTGATTTGTAATAAATACATGTATTTTGTAGATTTGACAATATTCATGTTGTATGTTTATAACTGATATCTTTTGGCCCTTAGATTTGCTATAACTAACCTTTTGCTTCTTATTTCATTATTGTTATACAGCCATAAGTTGACCAGAGTCAACTCCAAATTCCCACTCCTTTCATAAACCATACACTTTCCACTTCCAGAAAAAATGACTGAGACATGAATAAATTGTATCCATTTAATTTCAAATCATTTTGTATCTGATTCTTCATCACTCTCTAGATCTGAAAGTTCAACTTCCAGTGTCCCATCCTCATTCCACTTCTGTTCTTCTTCACGGGCCAGCAATTTCTTAAAAATCTCATACTCCTCAATTGTAGAGCAGGCTATTTTGGTCACAAAATCAGTTTCAGACGCTCTGATTAGAGTTTTCAGTTTGGGGTTCACAATCTGGGTCTGCCCCTTCTTATCAGGTGTTTGATAGAGTCCCAAGCGCTCTAAGAAGATGGTTCGATTCTTGATATCAGCCAGAGATGTTTGGAAGAAACCAGAATTCACTATTTCTCTGTGTTTAACTCCCATTCTGTAATAGGCAAACTAAAGAGAAGGGCAGGGACTTTGAACGCATAATCCTTTAAGTAGAATGAATCAATTCTTGTTACAGCTATGGCTAATATTCTGTGCTAAGACCACAATTCAATACAAAGCAAGTCATGCAATTTCAATTAACTTAAGCATATCTAGCGGCCCAAGTGTACTGTGGCCCAAGTTTTGCCTCCAAGAAGGGACAGAAAAGCTTTGAGTTCTGTTTCAAGCCTTTATCTAGCTCAACAACTTGAGGCCAAGTCAAACACGTTTCTGGTTCACATGTCAATACGGAGACAATCAGATTTACACAGCTTTTTCTCCCTAAAACTGCAGAAGCATTTTAAGTCCTCAAAGGAGAAGTGACAACTATAGTGGTCATCACCAGCCATCCAGAGAAATCAGTTCTTTTGAAAACTTCAGAGTTATCACACTTAACCTGCATATGACATGAGCTTGTGGTATACTGGAATTTTAGCCATTAGAATTATGAATGCAGCAAAGCCCACTGATTTATTTTGGGGCTGTGAATTACACTATATGGAAACTGATTATACTCATCCATGTTGGCAAGAAGTCAGTCTTACAGCATACTGCAAGATAACAATTCCCCCTGATCCAGACTTACCTGGAATGTGTATTCCAGATCATCCAGGTCTTCTAGCAGGACATTTGGGCACGTTTGTAGAATTTTAGATACTTGCTGAACTGTGAAGAGGCATTTTTCCATGAGGAGATCTTTAACAGCCTCAATTCTTCTTTCGGGCAAGGTGAAGATGCTTGGACAGTGAATCACTATGTGATTCAGACTACCTGTCAAAATGAAAGGAGAAACATATTAATACAGGGGCATGCCTACATCAGCTACTTTCTCCTTGGATAGTTAAAAGGAACAGCTGGAGCAATGCCCCTGATTTAAAAGCCCATTTTAAACCTAAACACCCCATGAACATTGTAGAAATATCTAACTTATTCCAAATTAGTAACTTACGTTCGTAATAGTTTTATGTGATTAGCCATGCTAGTCTGCTGTAGAACAAAATTTGAGTCCAGTCTCATCTTTAAAAGACCAACATTTTTTTGGTGGTAGTTCTCCTACAGAGAAGCTTCAAGGGACTACTACAACAAGAGGCTACTGAACTAGAGTTTGTTAACAAGTTCAGGACAATGTCCTCCAGACTGTATAGGGACATAGTATTCTTATCTCATTACAGATGCTAATTTTCTGCATTTGCCACCTCTGTGTATCTTCTTGCTCTGATGAAGCTGATTATATTTTGCATTGCAGTCAGTATCCTAGCTCCAACTAGACTTTCTCTGTAACACCTCTTCCACCTTCTGAACATGAGAGATTATGAGTCTTTGTTCTCATTTGTATCTGATAAAGTGAACTGTGATTCACAAAAATCTGGAAAATTTTGTTGGTCTTAAAGGTGCTCCTGGACTCAAATTTTATTTTCCAAGCTGAGAAAGATCCCCAGGAACATTGCCCATTTCAAGCAACTGACTGATGCACCTTCTTGTGAAAAAAATTGCTTAGGCGTAGGCACTGTAGACTATCATTTCATACAATACATTTGCCCCCTATTCTGTATGAATTTTTCGCTTATTTTTGCATGCGCATGCATGTATACATACTGCAAATATACAAAAGCTCATGCAGGAACAATAGTAATATTGAGGGCAATAATACAGATGCAGTTTTCTGACAGCAAAATTAAAAGAACTTTTTTTTTCTGTTAGGATGGAGGAGAAAAAATAATCCTGAATGAAGGAAACTAATTTACAAAGTCCCTCTTTGCAAACAACAGATTTGGAAGACTAAAAGAATATGATAATAGATTTTACTGGGCAACTGTCCTTAAAATCTGTAACATTTCATTTATTTTAATTATTACCTAAATTTTTCTCTTTGGGTTTCATTTCCAGCAACAGGGAAGCAAACATAATGTCAAAATCAAATGATCTGTTCTAAAAGATTACAGGCTACATCAAAGTTGGGTCCAATCTCCCTTTCAAAGGCTACCTACATCTATGTACTGTCATGCCTTCAAAAACATTTCATACACACACACACACACACACACACACACTTCTATCAAACCTAAAGCATTTATGCTTCTTTTCATCTTGTGCATAACTTTATTTTTACCTTCTCCTTAGCATGAGGCTTATTTCAGACAACACCCACAGAAAAGAATGAAATATAGTGCTTAGAGCCCAAGCACATTAGCTCCCCAAAATTACAATGTGGCTCCAGGAACACAAGACATGTTCATAGACAAGGTCAGTAATTTAGTGCTTTTCAATACCTTCCTGAAAGTTGAATTTCCTCAGCAGATCTGCACGATTCTTTAGGCGCTCTGGTGACATTCTCAGCAGTTCAGTATTCTTTTGTATGGCTTTCAATATGGAATCAGTGCTTAAACCCAGGAGAAGTAGTTCTGAAACGACAGCCAACCTCGCCTGAGAAGGGAGCCTGGGCTGCACACTGAACAACTCCTTTATTTGAGCATGACTAAACCCCATGTCCAAGAATGAATCAACCACCTTCCCGAAGTGGCTGGGGTTAACTGGTCTCTGGTTCTCTGTGGGAGAAGAGGTGAGAGTCTCCAGGAACTTTTGAGGACCATCACTGCTATCTGGCTTGGAGCTAGCAAGGCACAAGCTCGTTTCACTTTGATCAGAAATGGTACCAACCAATCTGCACCCCAGCCGCCAAAGAGACCAAGGAAAGCCAATAGCCGACGAATTCAAAGAAGCCAACTGACCGGCAAGGGAAGCAAAACTGCTCCTCTGTAAAACCTACAGAGACAGACAAAATTAATCTTATTACTAATAACTGCTTTTACAAATAAGAATTACCAGACAAAAAAGTCCGCACAAAAATAACTGCAATCCTCAAAAGAGTTAAACCCTTCCAAGTATAACTTTGTTGAGGGTTACACTGTGAATCTACCTCCCTGTCCCACAGAAGCTTTTACTATTCATTTCAATTCCTCACATTGATGGCATGGCTGTGTCAGTCATTTCCTGTTTGCACTACAAAGATGTCAACCAAATTAGGACACCATTGTGCTTTATACTATGCAGATAAAGTCATACCGATTAACTTGGTAATACGTTTTACACAAGCTTTGCTACAAAAGCTATGTTGCTGAAGTAGAAGAATGTATTAAATAATCTTATAAATTGGAATAAGAGACAACTGGTCCCATGTCTACTTTATACTCTCCAATATCATAAGATTACTCCTGACAAACACGTTTTTATGTCACATCACATTTTTGTTGTTATTCTGAAAACAATTTACATAAAGGATAGACTGATAAGTTTGTCTAGAGCAGTAGTGGTCTTGGTCAGTTGCAGCAAAATCAAACAGAAGTCCAATGGCAAGTCTTATACACTTGGGTTTCCTCGCTAACTACAGATGCCAATAGAACTCAGAATTACCTACCCTTAAGTTTATTAGTTCTGCTTATGTTTCACACATCATGCTGCACATTCCTTGATTAAATCTAATGTTATGTCTCTCCTATTCTGACCCATCTATCTACAGTTGGGAGTGGTCCTCACCAACCTTGAATAGATTTAATTATCTTTGGTTATTGTTACTAACTGGCCTCTCTTTGTAACATCTCCCCACGCCCACATTTTCTCATAATGTTAAGTCTGTCTGTCTATCTTATCTATCATCTATCTATCTATGTATATCATGTATATCACTCTCAATGCATCTGAAGACACAAGCTCTAAATCATGAAAGTTGTATGTCGGAATACATTTTGTTACTCCTTTAAGTGCTACCAGACTCCTGTTTGTCGGGTAGCACAAAAAGTGGTAGCTTCAAAGCAGTGCTTCCATCCCAGGCAGTATTATCTCATAGCACCTGATCAAAATCACTGTTGTACACCTTAACTGTAACCCTACTGGGAGGCCAAACCTTGGGAAAAAACCAGACTCTGCTTGACAGATGGAGGGTGGCACTGCTAGGGCTGCAAACTCCAGCCTGGGACATTCCTGTAGATTTGGGGGCAGAGCCTGGTGAAGATGGAGTACGGAGAGGGAGCTCAGCAGGGATGTGATGCCATAGGGTCCATCCTCCAAAGCCACCTTTTTCTTCAGGGGAACTGATCTCTACTCTGGAAAGCAGTTGTAATTCCAGAACTCCAGCCTCCACTTAGGGGTTGGCAACCTTTGGTTGCAAAGCCAGGTGAAAACAAAGGAAGTGCCTTGGTGGCCAAAAGGGTGAAGGTGGGCGCTGTCGTGCCCCTCCCTACAGGCCATGCCAGGCTCCTTCTCACAGGCAGGGGCCGACTGGCCAATCACTTCGATCGGTGGGCTGCAACCCTGATCTGCGCCCACCCCCATGGTGGGGACAACGCCTGGCTTTGCTCCACTGGCCTAAGCACGGCGTCTGGCCAGAAAGGAGAACAGACGCAGAAGCACCCAGCTGTGCCACCACCTGTGCCCGGGCTCGTCCTTCAAGGAAGATCTCGGCCACAGCGGCACACAGTTTCGCCCTGCAAGAGTTCCCAACTCTCTCCCAATTATTTCAATTCATGTTTATGAGGTGCAAATTCAAGACCATGGTTAAAGCTGCAAAACACAGAGCCAGGACATCGTGATTATCGCAGGTGAGGCGACGTTAAGAGAACCCGCATAATCATTTTGTGGGACCCACAAGCCCGAATAACATGCGGAAGAAAGGAGACCGTGCCTGGAAGCCAATCAGAGCTTATGTCCAGCTGCTTGGGCAGAGCAGCAACGAGCGGCACGCGACAACGCACGCCGCCCCTACAACAACAGGGCTCAAAATATCGAGCGCGCATCCTATTTCACCTCTACTGCGTCTCCGCTGCTTTCCCCCCGGGGCCTCCAGGAAATTCGCCTTCATTCTCTCCCACCCCCAACCCCCCTGGAATAAGTTTCTCATCCGTTACATTCGTAGCGGACAGCCCTACCTGCCCACAGAGCCGTCCCAACTCCAAACCGCGCATGCCGCGGAATTCTCTGCCTTCTAGACGGCCGAAGAGGAAGAGGCCTGAGCGCCGCATACTCTCCCCCCCTCCTCCTCCTCCCGGAAACGGAAGCTGAGCCCTCGATGGCTCAAAGGACGCCTACAGGAAAGCACTTGAAAGGCAACGGGCTCTTTGCGATCGTTGGGAGATGGCGATTGTTGACGTAGGAATTTAGGTTTACGTATTTATCTTTCCCTTGAGTCCAAAGGCTGATCGACATCGCACAGTAACAGACTTCCAATGGACTACTGAACGTCCGTGCATAAAAATCTAGAACAGAGTCCAGTGGTATAAAAAATCAGTAATGGACATAAATCCCCCCCCCCCGCGCGTCGGTTTACAATGTAGCCAGCTATTCAGGTGCACTCATCAACCAGCTGGGATTTAGCCTTTGCTCTAGGTTTCCAATAAATGTGTGCTTGTCAAAGGCTTTCACAGCCAGAGTTCATTAGTTGTAGATTTTCTGGGCTGTATGGCCGTGTGTGTCTCTGACACAGCGAGTATTCCATCTTTCTGTGTTATACCTCTGAGGATGCCAGTCACTCACAGCTGCTGGCAAAATGCCAAGACCACGGCCATGCAGCTCAGAAGATCTATAACAAATTTGTGTGCTTGTTGGCAAATGGGTTTTCTGCCGTGAAACAAACAATTCTTAGTCTTCCTTAATAAAAACAGAATGAATGGTTCTGGGGACTAATAATAAAAGAGTTGTTTACTTTGAATAAAATGGGATCTACTAATGAGTAGACTTTGGCTGAGCGCCAAAGAATAGATGCTTTTGAATCATGGTGCTGGAGAAGACTCTTGAGAGTCCCTTGGACTGCAAGGAGATCAAATCAGTCAATCCTAAAAGAAATCCCTGGAAGGCCAGATACTGAAACTGAAGCTCAAATACTTTGGCCACCAAATGAGAAGGGAGCACTCACTGGAGAAGACCCTGATGCTGGGAAAGACTGAAGGTCAAAGAAGACGGGGACGGCAAAGGATGAGATGGTTAGACAGTGTTATCGATGCAACGAACATGAAATTAAGCAAACTTCAGAGGACAGCGGAAGACAGGAGGGCCTGGCATGATGTGGTCCATGGGGTCGCAAAGAGTCAGACTCGACTGTGCAACTGAACAACAACGAGTAGACTCACTTGGGATTGCTCTCTGACTTATCTAGTTGCTATATAACAGTGTGGTACATAACCTAAATAGGTCTTAGGCTATCTGATGAAGCACACAAAAGCTTATACCCAGAATTAAACTTTGTTGGTCTTAAAGGTGCCACTGGACTCAAACTTTGTTCTGTTGCTTCAGACCAACACAGCTACCCACCTGAAGGTCCTCTCTCATTCCCTTAGAAGGCAGGAAAGGGTTATTGTTTGTAACAGTGGTATTCACTCTTTAGATCATGGAGAGCCTTATTTGCAATACAACCGGACTACATTGTTCATAAGTGCAGACTACAGATAAAGTAACTTGCTTTTCAGAGTCTGATTTTTTTTTGCAAGTTTGGACATTGAGAGACTGTCAGGATACAGAGGCAATTTTCCTTTAGCATTAAGAAATATGTGCAGGATTCCAGGAACCTCATTTCTGCAATGCACAATGACTGCATTTATGAAGAAATGTGGGCTCAGAGGAGCAAATAGCTGAGTGTTTTTGGGGGGACAGGAGGTTCCTGGAGGAGGTCCAGAACAACTTTAGGCTAGAACACCAACTAACTATGGATCAAGAAGTGGAATTGTCTGAGACTCTCTCAGAGCAGGTTGTCTAGGAGCAGGGGAGACAGGAGTCCAGGGAAGCAGACAGCTTGTGGTTCCTGAGAAATGCAAGAAAAGAGTCATGGAGTTGGCACAGGACATTCCATGTGCAGGGCAGCTGGGAATGAGACTAGGCCGAGGCTTGTTTTGATTCTTTCTGGCCAAAGTTAGCACAGGACGTGAGAGGATCTTGTGAGTCTGATGTGACATGCCTTAATTTATTAATAAGATGGGGGAATTTGAATTTTTGTTGTTGTTCAGTCGCACAGTTGAGTCCAACTCTTTGCAACCCCATGGACCACATCACGCCAGGCCCTCCTGTCCTCTGTCATCCTCCGTAGTTTGCTCAACTTCATGTTCGTTGCATTGATAACACTGTCTAACCATCTCATCCTGTGTTGTCCCCTTCTTCTTTGGCCTTCAATCTTTCCCAGCACCAGGATCTTCTCCAGTGAGTGCTCCCTTCTCATTTGGTGGCCAAAATATTTCAATGTCGGCAATGACTTTGATCAAGGAAACAATAACCTGTGTATAATTGGAGTCCAAACAGCGCTACGAATGGAGTCAGCAAGATAGGGTGGGGTAAGGTAGGTAGGAAGTAAGAGAGAGCGAGCAATGGAAAGATGCTCTCTTTTTATCCCTTAGAATGATTGTGCGGGGGATGCTCCATCAGCCATATAGTCCCCAGGAAATCTAGAAAAATCCAGTTACTAAATGGTCAAGAGATGACTGAGAGAATGAGATTAATGGCTGGGCAATTGCAATGATATTCAACTAATGGTGACACCTTTAGAAAGACAAAAGAAATAGTAATGTCTCAGCTCCATGGACAGTTGTTAGTTTTAATGTCCCAACGATTACAGCATTATCAGGATGGGCGGCAGATGGACATGACAGCTGCTTAATCCTCACATGGTGTAAGTCCTTTTGTTTGACAATGAGGAATATGTGCAGCATCTAGCAAAGGTGGGGGGGGGGGTGCCTGCGTGATGGAGAAGTCTTTCTATGGAGTCTTTTCAGGAACTCTCAGGCTTCCTGTGCAGAGCATGGCTTCTTCTTAGTGAAATGCTGCTGGTTTCTGTGTACTTGTAGTGTCAGGGAGGTTGGTTTGCCTCTTGCGGGGATGCAGGGGTGAGAGGCATCGGGTATACCACGGGTCCACGTCAAACTTGGCACACTGCTTCCGAGCGAGGCTTCCCTTGGCTGGGCACATGCTTACAGTCCAGGAGGTTGGCACCATCTTCTGGCTACTGCACAGTCCAGTTCCCTGGCACACTTATTGTACAGTCCAGCTTATAGTTACAGTCCATATCCTTATAGATGCTGCACAAGGCTCTTGCGGGACAACAAACTGCCCACTTCCCTGGAACACTGGCCAGATATCACAGTGAGGAACAGTGCTTAGAAGAGCCATATGTGGCCCCCAAGCCACTGAGTATCACTGGCTTATAATTAATTACTTGGTTCCATGCCAACTGTCATTCCAGAATTAGGTATTTTCTACACAGGGACAGCCTTGTGTGGTTTTCCAGTTGCTGCTGCGGCTACAGTGCTGTAGCAACAGGACTTCCATGTGACAAGTTTCCCTGCATTTTTCCTGTCCCAGGCCCCTGCCAACAGCCATTCCAAGTTTTTTAAAACAGTGGACATATCATTATAACCATCTTGTCAGGTTGCATGAATTTCTGTTATTCATTTTTTTAAAGCCAGCCCCTTTTCTTGAAGAGATATGCTTTCCCCCTTATATCTCCACAAAGATAGCAGCTAGACTTGGCTTAAAAAATGAAAGCAAGGAATTCAGAGAACCTGATTGTTTTAACAATATTCAGTTGCTGATTTGAAAAGCAAGCCCTCTGGTGGCAAAGGGAAATTACTGCAGTGGGGAACTGGGGTAAGGAAAATGATGCTCATATGGGTGCTAAAATAAATCAATCCTGACTGTTCCCTGGAAGGCCAGATAATGAAACTGAAGCTCAAATACTTTGGCCACCAAATGAGAAGGGAGCAATCACTGGAGAAGACCCTGATGCTGGGAAAGATTGAAGGTCAAAGAAGATGGGGACGGCAAAGGATGAGATGGTTAGTGTCATCGATGCAACGAACATGAAATTGAGCAAACTTCAGAGGACAGAGGAAGACAGGAGGGAATGACGGGATCTGGTCCATGGGGTCGCAAAGAGTCGGACTCGACTGTGCGACTGAACAACAAGGAAGATCCAGACTTTGCTGTCTACATGCACCCTGGGTTTCACTGTGATATTACTCAAAACCATCACATTAAAGTGGATTTGAGGAAAGATTACAGGAAAGATGGGGGAAACCCAGGAGTTGCATAAAAACACCATGACAATGTGGAGAATCAAAAATCTGCTTTCCAATAGCATCCAAGCTGGGACGAACAGTCCATGTGTAAGTGACCTCAGTCAATTTTTACTTATGTTAACAGCATAAATAATGATCAGCATTACAGCGTTGTTGTTTTTTTAAAACTTAGCTGGGAGAATAGCCAACAAACAGACAAGACATGGTTTGTGCAAGGAACAGAGCACAATCCCAGAAAGCTGATTCTGGGACTGCTCATTTTCAAGATCCGTCATAACTTTGACTAAAATATAATTTCTTGTCTATACCCACATAAGTAGTTGCCTCCTGGCAGTGACTTCCCTTGTGGCATAGGCCTGAATAGGGCACTCTGTTGACCTTTCTGTGATGTATCTACAATTAGTACTGAAAGACTAACTAAAAAAGCAAAAGCTTTGTTTTCTTCTTGCTTGAGAGGGCAATAGATAGGAACAGTCAAAGGGACAGTGCTGGTTTGTAGCAAACAGGACACAGGCATGGGACTGCTGGTGTTCCAGAGAGAAGCCTAGAGAGCATTAATTCTTTTTGGCATGCTGGCAAGCCTGCCAGAGAAGTGAATCACATCACACATACAAATATTAAGATACCAAAATGTATTCTGTTAACTTCAAGAGAAGTGATAGAACACAATCGAGATGAAAGTCACAGCAATCAAAAATATACTTTATAGACTAAATGTTCTCTCATATTTCAAAATATGTCATACAGTAAAATTCAAGGTACAAGGCTTGCACAACCTATTAGTATCCTGACACATTTAAATGAGTCAAGATAGAGTTGTGGCTACTTCATTGGCATCTGGCTTTAACAATTTCCTGGAAACCATTTTAGAATTATGAAGAAGCTAGGCTCCCATTAGTAAAGGTAGGCATGTCCCCTAAGAATAAGCATCAATAGGTAAGTGTACATCTTCAGGGGCAAAAAACATAGCAGTGTTCTGTTCCCAAAAGACTTAAAAGGAATATTATAAAATGAGGTTTGGCTATGCTTTTATATAAAAAAACTGCTTTATATTAAAAAAACTCATAAGATCAGCATTTCACAAATCATTTCCGAAATCAATATAACATGTTTAGGTACTTGGGGGAGGGGGGGATTGAAAGGATGTTCCAGATATAAGTATTCTGAGGTTTCTTCTTTCAACAGATTCAGAACCTTAATTAAATCACAAGAATGCCTGACCAGGGTTCTTTGCTGTTTTTTAAATGCAGCAAACTAAAAATAGAAAGGTGTCTTCTCTGTTCACTCGCACAAAACCTTTGCCCTCACACTCTGCTCTATCAACTACAAAATTTCACATCCAACATGATGAGCAAAGGTCTCAAAAACAGTAGCATCCAAAAGCCCCAAGCATGTGAGTGTTAAAGGCTCTAGCTGAACCCTGTAACTGGTTTTGAATGGCAAAGGATGAAGAAGTCAGAACGGCCACCAGAAACACTCTGCAGGAAAAGGCCTGAAGCAAGCTGACAGACCACTTGCATGCTGTGAATTCACATTATCAGGTATTTCAGACAGGGTGCACACTGAACCAACATCTGTTCCAAGGAGAAGCAATTGTAGATGTCTGACCTCTTTAAAAAACAAATGCACATACACACACACACACACCCCTTGCTACATCTAACAGGAGAGGTGGAATGGCCTGAAGTAAAAAAATTGGTCCCACAGTGCAACTTTGGACAACACAGGATTATGTCCTGCTTATTCATTACAGACATTCATGCAGAATAAGCAGTTTACTGTGATGCTTCTTATGGTAGTGAGATCATCCCTAGGCCTGCTATATTTCCATGCATGAGTGCTTCCTATCATAGTGCCTGTGCACAAAACACCTCCAACAAGGGTAAACTCAAACTACTTCATCAACAACCAGATTTTAGCATATGCAGGCACTGTGCTAATGAGATGCCCATGGGTGCACAGCCAATAGGCTTAGAGGTGAGACAGGCAATCACAGCAGGCAGGATGAATGGCTACAGTCCCTGGCCCAATGCAGTAGATAAGTTTTTCAGAACTGGCCCAATACAGAAGTGTGTATCGTGTTGGTATTGTCAGAATTGGCCCAATATAGAAGCTTGTATCGCCTTGGTATTTTTTAAGCTGTCAAGGAAGATTAAGGAGATGTTCTTTGGCAAAAGGTAAATGTCTAGAGTACAGATTTCAGTAGTTCCGCCAACGAAAAGAAGTTGATGGTTCTTGCTCAGTAGCGCTGATAGTTCTTTCTGGCAGGGGTTCCACCAGCCTGAGGGCAGCCACATCATTTAAGCTCTGCTCACTTTCCAGGCTTGGAACTGTCCAGGTGCTGTGACTGCAGCTGGTGGGATTAATTTTGAAGCGGATGCCTTCTGGGAAGTTAAAAACAAGGAAAGGAACATAAGAAGAGCCCTGCTGGATCAGACCAGTGGTCCATCTACTCCAGCATCCTGTCTTGCACAGTGGCCACTGCCAGCCAGTTCCTCTGGAGGGCTAACAACAGAGCACAGAGGCTGAGACCTTTTCCTAGTGTTGCCTCCTGGCACTGGGATTCAGAGGCTAACTGCCTCTGAACATGGAGGTTTCCCTCAGTCACCATGGCTAGTAGCTACTGATAGATCTATCCTCTATGAATCTACCTAATCTGTGCGGTGGCACAGGGGATTTATCCTCTCGTTAACAGCTGAACTGAACAGGACTGCTGTCAGTTCAAGCCCCGCACTGGTGTGAGCTGCCAGTCTTTGTCCCCAGCTTGCCGTCCACCCAGCGGTTTGAAAGCTTTGGCGAGTAGATAAAATGGGTACCACTCCTTAGAGTTAGCCAATCGGATGGTCTGCGCGTAAATCCGTAAGCCGGAAAAAAGAACTACGCCGCAAGAAATAGCCTGCAATAGGCCACTTGGCCAGATGGTGCAGTGGTGCGCTGCGACTGAGACAACGCTGACAACAGCAAGCGTCGCCGAGGGAAGGAATGCGGCTGGAACACGCCTGGACCTTGCTGCAGACTATCTCCGTTGACTATGATAAAAACATGTGTGTGATTTAATTGATATATGTTGTCTTCCCTTACCCCCAAGCATTGTTAGTCCCATGTGATATTCATGAGTAACTGTACATCGCTCAGAGCCGGCAGCTCTGCATGGATTGAGCGATTAATAAATGGAAATATTATTATTATTGTTGTTGTTGTTGTTGTTGTTGTTATTTTAAAGCTATCAGTTCCTGTGGCCATCACTACATCCCACGGCAGCGAATTACACTATCACTCTGTGTAAAGGAGTATTTCCTTTTCTCCATCCTGAATCTACTGCCCATCAGCTTCATTGGATGCCTTTGAGTTACAGTGTTTTGGGAGAGGGAGAAAAAATTCTCTTTGTCAACTCTCTCTACCCTATGCATAATTTTATAATCTTCTATCATGTCTTCCCTTAATCATCTCTTTTCTAAACTAAAAAGTCCCAGACTCTTCAGCCTTTCCAACACACACCAAAAAGCCACATTTACAGTGTAGCAACCATTGCATACATAGTTCAACAGCAACAGTTCAGAGTCAGTTTTTCACTACTCTGCAGATCCAGTTCAAAATGAACAAACTAACCAATCCATGTGCTGTTTTGAATGGTAAACCATTCCCCTATGATGTTTCTGAATAAGCAATGCCTACAAGAAATCCAAGTAGCTTTGAGAGCCCTGTCTCCTACCTGGCTTAGCAGAACCATATACTCCTTCCCAGGTATAATTAGCCAGGTTCACAGGCTGGGTCACCCAAGTATCCTTTGCAACTATTTCCAGAGTGGTGCGGTCCTCTGGAATAGGATGCAGGAGTCCAGAGAGGAGATTCATCAGGTCTAAGGAACAAGGAGAAGTATGGTCAGTAACTTGCACATACATCTTCAGTTTGCCCTTCAATTATCTTAGTTAAGCTAAGCACAGATTATATAAATTCATTAACCTAAGAAAATCTAAATTCAGCCTGCATTTTACTGCAATTTTAAACAGCGTTCAGCAGCTTTCCCCTCCACCTTGACTCTTCCCTGCTCAGGGCAGTCTCTGCTTGACTATGAAAATGACTGAGGGAAAGGGCCAAGCTTTAAGTACCACATGTTGAATTACACATTGCAGACAGTGCAAAATGGGCTCATGTATCCGAAGTGTCCAGGAGATTGTCTGGATCGCCTACTTCAGAAGCAAACTCACAGCTATTTTATTTTAAGGCTGAAACATTCACTATTTAACCATATGATGCATAAGAATATCCCAAGACCTCTGGAACACAGTGTTACCCAAATCAGCATGTGTGTGAAGGTCCTGTAATGTGCAAATGTGTCCTCTTGCTGGCACGGAGCAAACAGGTGTATTTTAGCTATTTTTAAATTTATTTGGTCCAGATTCAGACCAACACTTGAACAAACAACTGAGAATAAGCTTCTTAAATAGAGAAAGGTTTTAATGTAAGTAACAGGAAAAACCCAAATTAAATTGCAGTATTGTAGAGCAAAATAGAGGTTTGCAGAAAGGAAAAATGCAAGGATAAAGCAACCCCAAATATTTCCCTACCTAACTGGGGAAAAGCTTGGGGGGGGGGGCGGGGAGAAACAAGACATAGGTGGCTTGGAGAGAAGGGGGAGGGGTTCCTCAGTAGCCATGAAGCAGCTTCAAGAACTTGAAACTAACCCGTCAGGGGAAGAAAGCGTAGCAAAGCAGATCCACTGAATGAAGAGGCAAGAGGCCAACTATGACACTGAGGTAGGTGGATGAATCCCAGTTGGCCAGGAAATTTGGAACTGAGGGGCAACTCCTTTTACCAAGAGCGAGAAGGAGCAGAGGTGCTGGCATCACAATGCAGGAGTAATGGTACCATTAATGGTATGCAGCTTTCACTGACAGATCTTCAGAGGTTGGAAGTCTTTTTGGATTCTGGTCTCATGTTGGAGAAACAGGTGCCCATGATAGCAAACTTTGGGGGTGGGTGGGTTTCCAACTACATCTAGTTAGGATGCTGACTCCCCTTTTGAATGCCACACTGATCAATGCTTCAGTAACCCTGAAGCTAGATTAAAACATTTTACATGGGGTTGCCTGTGATTCAGGAGCTGCAGCTGGCACAAAATGTGGCAGCTCATCTGTTAACTGGGGATTGCCAATGTGACAATGTCACTCATATTGCAAAGTCTCTTCAGTGTCTGTCAACTGGTTTCTGGGTCCAATTCAAGGCGTTGGCATTGACCATTAAAACCTTCTGTGATCTGGAGCCCACATACTTGAACAACCACCTTGCCTTATGTATTCCCACGTGGCAGTTTCGTTCTCTTCAACAATGTCTATCAATACCCTCATTTTCAAAGGCGTAGCAACAGCCTTCCTGGAAGAGGTCCAGGGGCTCTAAACTTTCTGGCAAGGCCCCAGAGATCTTTGAGGCAGCCTGGGCGGTATGGGAATGCACCACTGGTTGTTGAATAAATTATTATTAATCTTGTTTCCAGTGTGTTGTTTTAAGATTTTATTAAACTGTTTTTATATATATACAAGGGGGACCCGCGATACTCGCGGGGGGGGGGTTTCAAAGCCGAAGAGCCAGTGCTGTCCGGAGACGTTTCGATGGTCATGTGGCTGGCATGACTAAACACCAAGGCGCACAGAACGCTGTTACCTTCCCACCGAAGTGGGACCTATTTATCCACTTGCAATTTCTTGCTTTCGAACTGCTAGGTTGGCAGGAGCTGGAACTAGATACGGGAGCTCACTCCGTCCTGCGGCACACCCGGGTCTCGAACTGCTGAACTACCAACCTTCCACAGCCCGCAGTTCAGCGTCTAAACCACTTGAGCCACTGCAGCTTCCAAAAGTGGTATTAGGATTGCATAATCATGTTCCTTTAACATCTTCCCTGTTTCTCAAAACAAAATGCCAGCTAGACTGCTCCCCATCACTTCCTTTGGCCTGGAGAGTGTTACCATTTTGCCCTATTGGATAGAGTTGACACTTGCGGCTTGGGAAATTCCTGGAGATTTGGCCCTGTTCTCTGCCCTCAGAGGCTTTGGGGGGAGTATTCAAATGATTTCAAGTTGGTATCTAAACAAAGATCGTAGAATCACAGAGTTGGAAGGGGCCCTACAGGCCATCTAGCCCAACCCTCTGCTCCATGCAGGATCAGCCTAGAGTAGGGGTGTCAAACATGCGGTCTGGGGGCCAGATCAGGCCCCCCGGAGGGCTCTTATCAGGCCTAAAGTGGAACTGGCCGTCTTCTGCTGCTTCTTCCAGTTCTGCGGCTGCTGCGTCTTGGTAGGTTTGCAGTTTACAGAGAAACACCTGAACAACATACTCAAGATTGCAACAGCACAGACATTTTGATGCAACAATTCAGAGCAAGAGGTGTCAGTTAGCAGACACTGTTAAATAAACACAATATTGCAAGATTGCTAATGTTTTAAGCATTTTTTATTTTAAGTAACAAAAAAACCCGTTTGCGTTTGTGTCCTTTATAAAGTTTATATCTCCGCTACCTGGCATTACATTTTATGACACACATGGCCCGGCCGGACAAGGTCTCATTTATGTCAGATCCGGCCCTCATAACAAATGAGCTCGACACCCCTGGCCTAGAGCATCCCTGACAAGTGTTTGTCCAGCAGCTGCTTAAAGACTGCCAGTGAGGGGGAGCTCAACATCTCCCGAGGCAGCTGATTCCACTGTTGTGCAACTCTCACTGTAAAAAGCATTTTCCTAATACCCAGCCGGTACCTCCCCAGTCCCACCTCTTACATCCTTGATTATACTAGCAGATAGCTTTAGGCGGGGCATTTCTGTGGTGGTACTTATATATATATATATATATATATATTTACATTGTCGTTGCTCATCTTGGGCCATGGAATGCCCAGGCGAAAGGCAAGAGAGTGTGTGTGTATATAAAATAAATAAAGGTATATTGAGAGCTCCGTTTGGCTGCTGTGCAGATTATCAGCCACTGGGACATTGGTGGCTATTTTTGCTGACATCGCTGCTTCCCCAACAGAATCAGCGATAATCAGTCTGGAGGAATAGTATCCAAAGAGAGATGCCAATGTTATGTAGTTTTTAATCCACTTCATGCAGGTTGATTTGAACACTAGAACATTTCCCCCAGGAACTGTCACTGAATAAAATAAAAAAGGGACCCAAAAATCTGATACACTTGATTCTCCTCAAGTACCTCCTATGAAAACCCAAAGTGTGCTAGTCACCTTCTTTGGAGAGAGAGAGATCAGGGGGAAATTAAGAAATAACTCATTCTGGTCATCTTTGAAAGAGATTGAGGCATAAATTACAGAATAGTCCTGTAATAGCATCTGCACTGAGAATGCAGGGCTTCTCAAACACAGAGCATCCATTCCTGACCCTCTTCCGCAGATATTCAGAGCCACCAGGAACAGAAATTCTGAAGTCAGGAATCACAAAGATCTTATGACTTAGTTCAAAACACAGTCAAGCACCTTTGACATCTGGTGGATATCCCACATGGGAAGTCTGTGGCACTCTTCAAAACGTTTTTAATACATGAGTCTATGCAGATGGGCAGAGTCTAGCCTACTTTACACTAAGTGTGTGTAACCCTGGTGTTAAGTGGGAACCAACTGCATTTTGCCACTGTCACCACAATCAAACTCTTTATAATGCCCTTCTCAGTTTTCAAGTACTGAAAGTACAGAGCTGTGCTGAGTCCAGATGAACCTTGAGACAGGAACCTGCCAAGATTGGCAGTTGCCATGGCTTTATCAATGCCATGCTCTTTGGCTCAGAAAAAGGGTCTCCACCGCAGCCAGAAGAGGGAAATTAAGATTCAGTTACGCTAATTCCTTGGATGCTCATTCATTCATTGGGTGTTCCATCATGTTGATTGTATTTGAACTGCACTGTATAATCAACCTTGAGTCTCAATGAGAAAGGTGGACTATAAATAGCATAAATAAATAATAAAATAAATTCCCAATGTATGTTTCTAATGTTCTGAAGATCAAGGTGAAGCTTGGAAACACAGAACAGCCCTTCTAGCCACGGTGCTTCCAAGGTACTGAAAGGCTTCACTACCTTAATATGGAACTTTTAAAGATCTGCATCTGCACCAGTTTCCTATTGGACAAGGACGCAAAAAAAGGTCTACTGGGGAATATCCCCACTGCATGTAATGAGGACCACTATCTGGGATGTAGGCTTTGTTTCCTCTGACACAGACTCTGGCAGCTCAGCTGATAAGATGACTACTAAGCTGTCGAGTCTTGTGAGCAAAAATTCTACTTTGTGAGCTACTGGCATTAAAGTTGTGAGCGAGCAATTTGGCTGCTGCATAAATTAGTCTGCTCTGGAGCCATCCTTTCTGGGCTGAGACAAAAATGCGTGAGGCGGAGGCTAAAAAAACTGTGAGCTAGCTCACACTAACTCAGCTTAGAGGGAACCGTGCCCACTACACATAATTATGTTGAGACAGATGTCTAGTGATGCTTAGCCCACTGAAACAGAACCCACATCTCCTTCTACACAGCACACAATCTTGTTGTGCCATCCTGTTCACATGGACCTTGCAAACTCTCTTGTGATGGTACTTCCTGTATCATTTCAGTTTTGACAAATTGTCACTAACATCCTCATTTAAAAAAACACAACCATTTGTTAACTGTAAAATACAAGAATCCTGATGTGAATAACAGAAGTCACCTCTAGACATAACGCCACCAAACTGTTTCCAATAGCCACTGGTCAGTGGGGAACACTGCTCCTAGCTGTGGCAGAACCTATGAAGTCTTCTACCTACTGGTAGAGATACAGCATCATGCTTAAGATAGGCAGTGCTGCTGTTGTCTGGATTTGCTCTGAGGTCTAGCTCTGGAAGACCTGGGCCACTCTCTGCTAGCATTTGTGTTAAGCCTGCTTAAGGCAGGAATTCCTGGGTGGCTTCAAGTACCAAGGATCTAAATGAGTTAGTAGTAACCCTATTATAATACTGGAGGAGGTGGTCAAACAGAGGAGAAAAGCCACCTTTTAAACCTTTGTTTCTATAAGTACATTTTCAGAGCATTCCCAAGTAACTTAGTATCCAGGAATAAAATAGGTATAAGATTACATCGGGGTCTGATTCAGGTGGGTAGCCGTGTTGGTCTGAAGCAGGAGAACAAAGTTTGAGTGCAGTGGCACCTTTAAGACCAACAAAGTTTTGTTCAAGGTATAAGCTTTCGTATGCACACATACTGCTGTATGCTCAGCCTCTACCTATATGTATGGACTAGTAATTTCCATTTCAGTGTATCTGATGAAGCGTGTCTGCACATGAAAGCTTATACCTTGAATAAAACTTTGTTGGTCTTAAAAGTGCCACAGGACTCAAACTGTGTTCTACATCATTATCTGACATTCACATTCCAGAGATTAAACCAAATTTTACACCTAACCACTGCTACATCAGCCATAACCTTTGTGAAAACTTGCATAAAGAAACTCCCAATTTACCTGCTTTCCTTAACCAAGACACATGTTCAGAACGCTCAGCTATTATGGGCTCTCTTCCTTTCATGAGTTCTGAGGCCAAAAACAACATGGGTGTGTATATTGATTCCTCCCAGAGTATTTATCTTTTTTTTAACCTTTTACTTCTTATTTTTAAAAATAGGTTCATCACAAGTCACATTGAACAGATGCTGCATAGTCATAATCAGTGTTCCCTCTAAGCTGAGTTAGTGTGAGCTAGCTCACAGTTCTTAGCCTCCAGCTCACACATTTTTGTCTTAGCTCAGGAAGGATGGCTCCAGAGCAAACTAATTTATGCAGTAGCCAAATCACTCGCTCACAACTTTAATGCCAGTAGCTCACAAAGTAGAATTTTTGCTCACAAGACTCCGCAGCTTAGAGGGCGCATTGGTCATAATGAACAGCTACTGTATACAATTTTAAACAAATCATATTGAGCAGAAAAGCCAAACACAGAGAATGGAATAATTATTATATTTATTAAAGTGTTTTATATCCTGACTGTAACTGGAAAGGCCAGGATTTGTGTCACAGCAGCTGCTTCAGAGCAAAGTAAATGAGCACTAGGATTAGCAAACAGGAATCTGTTGATTACTTTCCAACAGGTGTGTACAAGAGAGGCCTGAGACAATCACAGTCTGCCTTTCTGCC